AAAAAAAAAAGTGTACAAAAAATTAGGAAAATAAAACGTTTATATATAAATATATTTGTATACTATAATTATTATTAAAAAAATTCTAAAAATAATAATAATAATCAAAACTTGCTGCTGTGGAAGAATCATACAGCAAAAATATATCAGTCATTTAGGAACAGAAACTAAAAACTAGCTCAGTCATGAAGGGGTTAATATTGTAATTTTTTTTGATTGTCCAATTCAATTAAAAGGAGCTTAATGAGTAACTGTTTCCATTGAAACATGTATTGTAATAAAAGAGAAGAACTGTACCTGGCAGTATTAATAATCGTAACAGAGTGTTATTTTCATGTTAAACCTTACCAGGTGCATAGTACCTCCTACTCTAAAATAATTCAGGTATACCTGTTTTTTTTATTGAAAGGAATGTTATCCTGTGTGAGTCATTCTTAGGTAAATTACCTTCAGTTATCATTTTAGTGATAACGGGAGGTACTGATATTATTTTAAAATCCCTAACATTTATTTTAGGGAAACTGATTGCTGAGATATTGAAAACATTATTTTAGAACCCAGTGACATTATCTGACAGTTATAACGCTTATGTCGGTGGCAGTAAAAGGGTTAGGCTTTCTGTCCCAACTATTTTTAATATTTTATTGTTAAACAAAAAGGCAGCATAATTAAGTGCTTAGGGATGTGGCCCTTTAAGACTGGGGTCCTGGTATAAATTCTCACTAAAGTCACATCAAATAATACATTTCATTAGCAGCTATTCACACTTATGCATTTTCCCCCCGGGTGGGAATTACATTGAAATCAATGGAAACTCATCAACACGCTATTACGGTAATGAGCAGTTTTGACTTTTTTTAATGGAAAGCTCATCAAGCAAAAACAAAAAAGGTGTGAATGCAGCCTCAGGGCCTTATCACACTTTGCCATGCATTCAATGCATTGCAAAGAATCTAACATATTGCAAATTTGCCCTAGTGTATGTATGTACAACTGTGATGGTGACATTGTATTGTAATCCCTGTCAAGGGCATGTACTAATTAGAATTACTGTATTCAGTATTCTATGTAAACCAATGTGGAATATGGCAGTACTATATAAACCAGTAAAATAAATATAAGAGTCATTTTTGTGGGTAACTATATTTTTATCTTCTTTAAAAATGTTATTGCTGACCAGCACAGTCCACTATTTAGTCAATAAATGTAGATATTGTGACAGCCTTGTTTGTCCCTTGCATACCTGTGCAATAGTAAAGCGAAGTTTCACAGGCTTTCCTTCTTTTACTAGACATTCCAACCTTTTACTGCGTAAAATACTGTCCAGAAAACACCAAAGCTTCTGCTGAATATCTCTTTCCAGATTCAGTTTCTTGGAATGACATCCAACCAAAGCATGGCAGACCCAGTCAAGTAAGACCTGTAAAAAGTGATTACAATATAGGTTATAGTGCATGATACCATTGTTTAGAACACTAAAATGTCTATGCGCACTTCTGATTTCATTCAGCACTGGGAAGATTGGTGAATTCATAGGAAGGAGTTCATATCAGTACAGCATTTCCATGAATAATACACAATGCATCCAAATGTAATAAATGGTGCACTTTTAAATGAAAACCTCGAGCGCAATTGGTCTTTTCTGTTCTAAAAAAAAAAGTGTTAATTCGCACCTAACACATTTGGTTATGCTTTCGTTAATTGATTTCAAAGTTTCAGCTTTTGGAATGGGCTCTTAAAATTACTGATTTGCAAAAAAAAAAGCTATCACCGGCAGCTGACAAAATGTATGCCACAAATCATTTATGCCACAAAGAAACCTGCTCTGGCAGACTTTGATGGCAAATGTTACCTTTTATTTTTCCCAGCTCTCTACTAGAAGATATATTAATGTGCCTTGCGATCATGTGCCGCCAATCGCATTGCGGCCGGAGGGTGTGGCTTCGGTGCCATTCACTTCAATGGTCCTTCATGCCCCCTCCTGCCCCACAAAACAGTGAGCTGGCCGCAATGCGAGGCAGTGCGTTCTGGCCAGAATCGGGCCGGAACGCACTGCATCTGGTGTGAACGGGCCCTTATAATTTTACATAGTTACATATTATTTGAGGTTGAAAAAGACACAGGTCCATCAAGTTCAACCTTTGTGTGTTGTGCGTGCATGTATATAAGAGTCCCTGCATGGTCCAGTATTTAAGTGTACCTATACCCCTGAATGTTACCGTCTCTTAGGATGGTATCGAATTGATTTTTTAATGAATCCTTTGCAGATACCACTGCTTATCGCAGAGAGTTCCAAAATGTTACCGCTCTAGCTGAAAAGAAGCCCTCTTTGTGGTAAATATTTTCTCTACCAATTTTAGATGGTGGCCTCTAGTCCTTGTTACGGAGTTTACAGTAAAAAGTTTAATGCTGATGTTGCCATCGCCACTAAACATTTTGTCCAACAAAATCATGACCCCTCTTAATCTCCTCACTTCCAGCGTTAACAAGTTTAGATTTAGCAACCTTGTCTCATAGCTTTGATCCTCCAGCCCCTTAATTAGCTTAGTTGCTCTTCTTTGGACCTTCTCCAGTTCAAGGACATCTTTTCTGTGGACTGGTGACCAAAACTGAACCGCATATTCAAGATAAGGGCGAACCAGTGATCTTTAAAGTGGCAAAATTACCACTAGGGATGTCCCGATACCGATGCTAGCATCGGAATCGGGCCCGATACAGGGCATTTTGACAAGTACTTGTACTTGTCAAAATGCCCCGAAGCCTAGCGCCTATATACTACATATAGAATGCACTGAACAATAGATTTACAATTATCCTCTGAATATATGAATATGAATATGAATGGGTTAAATGATCCGTAGTACATAATATGTAGCCCTGTACTACGGATCATTTAACCCATTCATGTTAGCAGTGGAGAATCGTATATCTATATGTACTGTACATATACAGCACAAATGTCCCGTACATTGTAGCATTAGATTTACAATAATCCCCTGCTAACATGAATGGGTTAAATGATCCTTAGTACAGCTACATGTTATGTACTATGGATCATGATTTAACCTATTCATGTTAGCAGGGGATAATTGTAACTCTATTACTGCAGTGTACTGGACGTATGTGCTGTATATGTATTATGGATCATGATTTAACCTATTCATGTTAGCAGGGCAGAATTGTGAGCGCCTCCCACATGCTGAGCACCGAAATGCGATGCAGCAATCCTGCCCAGCGCCGACTACAAGAGAAATCGCGTGAGGCTACGGGGATCGGAGTGAAACTGTGAGTAAGGGAAGCTGGGATGGGGCTGGCTGTAAATCTATTGCTATAGTGTACTGGACGTATGTAATGTACATGTAGTGCATATATACAGCATACACCTCCACTACACACCAGCAATAGATTTACAATTCTCCCCTGCTAACATGAATAGGTTAAACCATGATCCATAGTACATAACATGTAGTTGTACTATGGATCATTTAAAGTCATCTGTTCCTTTAAGAAAAAGTATCGGTAATTGGTATCGGCAAGTACATGAGGGGATGTACTTGTACTTGTACTTGGGCCTGAAAAAGTGGCATCGGGACATCCCTAATTATCACTTTGTCTCTACAGTACATTCCCTTTTCAATACAAGACAGTACTCTGCTCGCTTTGTTTGCTGTCGCATGGCATTGCATGCTGTTATTCAATCTGCAGTCAATTATGACCCCCAAATCTTTTTCCATTTCTGAGTTCTCATTAATGTGTAATCCGCTCGCCTGTTTTTAACCCCAAAGATCATTACTTTAAATTTTTCTACATTAAACCTCATCTGCCATGTAGTTGCCCACTCCCCTATTTTATCCAGGTCCTCCTGTAATGTAATAATGTCTAATCCCGTGTCTATTACCCTCCCAATTTTAGTATCATCTGCAAACACAAACATTGCTATTGACGCCCTTCGCAATATCGTTAATAAACAGATTGAATAGTATTGGGCCTAGCACAGAAACCTGGGGCACGCCACTCTCAACCTTAGACCAATGTGAAAAAGAGTAATTTATCAATACTCTCTGGACACGTTCCTGTTGCCAGTTCTCTATCCATGTACACACAATTTCATCTATGCCCATCGATTTAAGCTTGTGTATTAATCGTTTATGTGGTACTGTGTGAAACGCTTTTGCAAAATCCGGCTATACCACATCCACCGGTCTCCCTCCATCCAGATCTCTACTCACCTCTTCGTAGAATGTTAGTGGGTTGGTCTGACAAGAACGGTCCTTATAACACCATTGTCACAAACTAAATCCACTAAATAGTCCTTTATCATTCCCTCAAACAGTTTGCATACTATTGATATTAGAATGACTGGTCTGTAGTTACCCGGTAGGCATCTTGAACCTTTTTTGAATATTGGTACTACCGTAGCTTTACGCCAGTCACTTGGTACCCTTCCAGTCATTAATGAGTCCTTGAAAATGAGGAATAATGTTCTTGCTATAACCTGGCCAAGCTTTTTAAGTACCCTGGGGTTCAGGTTAGTTGGTCCTAACAATTTGTTTTCATTAAGTTTTTCCAGTCTTTGATGAACCCCGGTTACTGTCAACCACTGCAGTATCTTACGCACTAACAGTTCTTATCTCCATTAAACCCGTCTTTTTCCTAAGTGTATATTGCAGAGAAAAATGAATTTAATAACTCAGACTTCTCTCTTTCGTTTGTGATTAATCTCCCGTTTTTATCTTTTATTGGGCCGACCTGCTCTGTTCTTACCTTTTTACTGTTTATATATTGGTAGAATTTTTAGGAGTTCTTTTTACTGACTGTAGCGATATGCTTCTCGTAATCTATTTTAGCTGCCCAGATTTCATGTTTGCATCTCTTATTACATTCCTTGTAGCTCTGAAATACCAATGCAGTCCCTTCCATCTTATAATTCTTAAATGCCAGCTTTTTGTCTTTGATGTGTTGTTTTACCATTTATTTAGCCATGCAGGCTTAGTTCTTGATCTTTTATTTTTGTTAAACAAAATGTGAAAAAAAAGGTCTAAAACACAAAACATTGAATCGATTTATACACACGCACATTTAGGATGCACATACATTTCGTAAATGCCTATAAACACAACACATATCTGCCATCCCCACGTATACCATAGGTAAATGAATAATTTTAGGTCCCCTGCAGATTTTGTTAGTTTGCCCACTTACACAGAAAAGAAAGGTCTATAAGTTTTTAAAATGAAAGAGATAGAACATCAACCACAAATCCAGAAAAAACACATTTTTTCATTCAGTGAATAAAAAAAGTATTTGATCCCCAAGAAAAACATAACTTAGTACTTGGTGGAAAAACCCTTGTAGGCAAGCACAGAGGTAAGACGTTTCTTGTAGTTGGTTACCAGGTTTGCACACATCTCAGGAGGGATTTTGGTCAACTCTTCTTTACAGATCTTCTCTAAATCCTTACGGTTTCTTGGCTGTCGCTTGGCATCTCAAAGTTTCAGCTCCCTCCATAAATTTTCTATAGGATTAAGGTCTGGAGACTGGCTAGGCCACTCCATGACCTTAATGTGATTCTTCTTGAGCCACTGCTTTGTTGCCTTGGCGGTATATTTTGGGTCATTGTCATGCTGAAAGACCCATCCACGACCCATCTCAAGTGTTCTGGCTGAGGGAAAGAGGTTCTCATCCTAGATTTTACAATACATGGCCATGTCCATTGGCCTCTCAAAGAGGCAAAGTTGGCCTGTACCTTTAGCAGAGAAACAGCCCAAAAGCATAATGTTTCCACCTCTGTGCTTCCGTGTACTGTTACTAATGGTTTGTTTGGTGACTGGTCCCAACTGACTTGAGATCACTCATAAGCTCCTCCCATGTAGGTCTGGGCTGATCGCTCATTTTTCTCATGATCATCCTTACCCTATGAGGCGAAATCCTGAATGGAGCTCTAGGCCGAGGGCGATTGATGGTTATTTTGTAGCACACTCACAAGCCAGCATGCAAAAAAACTTGTCTCACCGTTTAGAGTTAGGACTGCACTATGTGGAGGTGCCTTGGCGCAGCTGTGAGGCTTTCACATTTTCTGTAGAAGACTAAACCTCTGTTTTTAACCTTAGTGGTGAGACAAGTTTTTTTGCATGCTGGCTTGTGAGTGTGCTGGGAAACTTTTTGCTATTACTGTTTAAAGCCCTTCCATGTGGACCTTGCTGTAAAGCTGGTAACAAATTGATGAGTGCGTTTGTCATTTGTTTTGCTTGAGAATCTGTGGAGAGGAATCTGTGGAGAGGTGTCTTTTATATACAGAACAAGTTGTCATTAGGAGCACCTTCTTAATGATTTCAGGACAGTGGTGGAGCAGCAGGACCCAGTCACAGCTGCAACCGCTTTGTAGTTCTCGTGAAAATGCCAAGTATTGGCACTGGTACC